GCCGCGCCCCGCCCCCGCGGCGCCCATTGGCTCTCGTCACCCCGCAGCGCCGCTCTCATTGGACAATCACCACGCCCGTCACRGCGACCCCGCCCCCTGCTGCAGCACGGCCGGCGGGGGCGCGTCCCCGGTGCTGCAGCGAGCGGCGGGCGCGCGCCTCCCCCTCACCCGCCCGCGCGGCCCCGCGGCCCGTCCCTGTCCCCGTCCCTGTCCCTGTCCCCGTCCCTGGGACCGCCACCGGGGATGCGGCCGGCATCGGAGCCCGCTGTGCAGAACCCGGGCGCGCTCCCCATACCGTCCCGCGGACCCGGCCGCAGCCCTTTGTGACCGCCCCCGGGTCACTCCCGGCCGGTCGCAGACACGCGGTGTCCCGGCCCGTGTGTCCGTGCCGGCTCTGCAGCCCCTCGGCCCAGCTGCTTCAGCCCGCCAGGCCCAGCTCCTKTTTTTCCCCTCCTTAAACATCACCCCGAGGTTTCGGAGCCCTCGCCCGCTGGCCGGCACCTTTTGTGGGCCAGGTGGGGAGGCGGGAACTGCAGCAGGGGAAAAGAGATATTTGCGGGGCCTCTTGAGAGCCTGGTGGGCTCGCTGCTCTTTGGGAATGGGACCAGGTGCGTTTTGGAGCAGCCTCCGGGGGCTGCGGCCGGTGTTCATCACGAGAGCTGCCCAGCGCCACGGGCTTCCCTGGCCTTTTCCAGAGCCTTTCCCAGAGCCTTGCCCGTGTTTCCTCCCTGCCTGAGCTCCACGGGATCACACATGGTACCTTCAGCCTCCCGGGAGCGGCCACAGCCTCTCCCCAGACCATGGCTGCCTCCTGCCCCCGTGAAAGCCAAGAGATCCAGGGTTCCCTTCCAGGCTCCTGCCCTTCCCACCCTGATCAGGCACACACGARGTGCTCAGGAATTAGAGCCATTTTAGTGAAATGAATTAATGTGACTGCAAGGGGGTGATACCAGGAGATGTGGCAGGAGGGAGCATCAAACCTGTCCAGGAGCAGAGCTGGATGGATCTTGGGAAGGGCTGCGGCAGGAGTGAGATCTCTCACATTTTCMCCGTGCTTAGGAAGCAGGACTTTCKATGATCTCCCTGCCCAAAAGGAAGTGTTTGAAATCATACCTGCCATTGCARTCCTACTTAGCATTTTTTGGTTGGATTGCTGGGTTCAAAAGGAGGCAATCAGACAAACTGTGGGGAGCCAGGCTMCTGGCACAGAGCTGGGAATCCCTGGGTCACCCCAGCCCATCACTGCACATGAATCGGTTCCTGCACAGCTCCCGGTGCTCGTGGTTCTCTGAAAGTCTCCCTCGTAATTACCATTGCAGTGGGAGGTCTTGCACATCCTGTTTCTCTGAAAAATCAGGGTGTTGACTCGCAGGCAGATGAAAGCCAGAAGGCTCGACTGGTTCCTCCCGTGTTTCGSTGTGCAAGCCCTGTGCCACTCCCGGGCAGCACAGCTCTGTGGCCACTGCCCCAGCAGCCCGAGGCAGCTGAGTGAGGCAACCCCATGTGGACTTCGGGTTGCCTAAATGCAGGCAAGTCCTGGGATTTGCACTTTTCCCTTGCACAGCCATCAGTTCTCCATGAGATGAGATGCTCACCCGGTGTTCACAGAGCAATACCAGCTCCCTGCAGTGCCAGAACTTCCCAGAAGAAGCCTGGTGAGTGTTTTGCTCCCTTTAGAAAGAGCACAGGCGCAAGGAGCAGCGCCAGGAGCAGCACCATCACCAGCTGTGGTCCCCCCTYGGGGCAGCCGAGAGCTCCTAATGGTGCAGCATCCAAACCCCAACACCCTCATGCCTCAGGGCAGCACCTCCACATCTCACTGCGTCCAGAAAATTTCCATTTTTAGACATTCACCACCGTTTAAAAGAGAAATAGCAATAGTACCCAGAAAACATTAATCTAGACACAGGCTGTTTGGGGAGTTTAGTTTCTTTTAGGAAATTATTTCCATGGAAAATCCTTGAGGATCCTGTAGATGCCATGTGGAGCATGACAGGGTACAGCAYTGGGTTATTATTTTTATCACACAATTATTTTTATCCAGGCTCGTGTTAGGAAGGAATTCTCCAAATCCATTCAATGTCTTTAACCCATGGAGGGAARGAAAACATTTCTGTCTAACCCAGGAGACTGGAAAGAGCAGAGACTGGAGGAAGCAGAAAGAAACATCTTCCATACAGGATTTGTATTTGAGATTTAGGTCACTAATTCCAAAACTGCAGAAGGCAGAAGGCTCCTGATACCATGGCTGCCAGGGCAAAGCCTGTCCCATGGGTGTTTCCAGAGCTGGAACAAGGCAGGTGAACAAGAACCACTAAAGCCTGAAGCAGCGCTTGATGTGTTTAAAACAACATGAATTTAGGCAAAGAATGCTCCATTCATTTCTAATTTAGACGCTTTGCTCCTGGTGGTGGCATTGGAAAGCTCCTTTCCATACTGGGTGCTGTGCCCCTCCATCCCCAGGCTGGGCAGGACAAACTTCCACAAGGGGAAAACACCCCTGACACCCCCACAGCTGCTTGTTCTGTCCCATGACCTTACAGCACTCACAAATGAGACAAAAAAAAACCCTTGTTCCCTGATGATTTGGCACTTTTGCTTCCTGCAGAGGCTGGTGTCCCCCTGTCCTGCTTTCTGCCTATGGAAGCTTTTGGATGCATCTCCAGGAGTTACAGGCTCAGATCTGGCCTCCCCCAGGAGCCCCACAGGTCCCACAGAGCAGGACATCTTGGCATCTTTCTGGGTGAAGTTTGTCCTCCATAGTTTCAAGTCCTGAATAATTTTGAGCCAGGGTTTAAATTCCATCTTTAAATGCAGGAGTTGCATATGCACAGAGCAAGGTTTGTGCTCAATAATGACAAGGGGACACCTTCATAAAATCCACGTGGATTCAGTTTCTAGTTCAAATCCTGACCTGCTGTGACTTTGGGTGGCCACAGCACCTCCCTTGCCAAAGGGAAGAGATGTCACTGTGCCCGTTTGCCCTGTCAGAGGTGAGGTCACCTTTGATGCCCAAAGTGCTGTGACTCCTTCGAAGGAAGGTGGAGGAAAAGGCAGAATTGCTCGTGCACAAAGTGCTGTGACTCCTTCGAAGGAAGGTGGAGGAAAAGGCAGAATTGCTCATGTACAAAGTGCTGTGACTCCTTTGAAGGAAGGTGGAGGAAAAGGCAGAATTGCTCATGTACAAAGTGCTGTGATTCCTTCGAAGGAAGGTGGAGGAAAAGGCAGAATTGCTCGTGTACAAAGTGGCTGCTTTGTTGTGTGGGATCAAAACAGAGAGGCGTAGGGATAAAAGATAAGTTATTTCATGAGAAAACTACTTTATTATAAACATTTCTGTGTGAGAAGCTTGAAAGGAATGGGAAATTCAAGCCTCATGCTCGATGCTTGTGTTTCAAAGCCTTCCRAGCTGTGCTAAATGGCAGTAGGATGAGGTTACATTTATTCTTGCAGCAGTCTGTCCACCAGGGCCACACCAGTTATTTTATCTTGTGTGTCAATAGGAAACRTTCCCAAACAGGAGGTGTTCACACAGGGATCAGCACCAAACACGAGCTCCATTGTCTCAYCCAGCATACATTTCAGTCCTGGAGTGTTTGAAAAGTTCACTAAATCAGGAATGGAAAGTGTGCTCCTTCCTCTCCCAAGGGGATTGCACAAGGGCTGCTTGGCTGAGCTGTTGTGAACCTGATGTCACCCCAGCAGAAATAGCCACCTCTGCAGGGAGCGAGGCAGGGCCTGAGTGCAGAGCGACGGGTTTGTGTCTGCTCCAGGCACACCTCAACAGCCCTGTGACATTTCCTCACRGGCTGTGACATTGCACGGAGCATCTCCAGGGGCTGCAGCAGAGCACAGGGCTGGGATCCATCTCGGATGTTGCTCCAAGCCCTGGGCATGCACGGGGGCTGTGCTCAGCTGCTCCTTCCTTCCTCTCCTCCTTCCCTTCACTGTCACACTGGGAAGCAGTGGGAGCTGGGAAGGTGGAGCAGGATTTTCACAGCYGTGACTTCCACTCTCCRTGCAGGGCTCTTCCCTCGAGGAAAWGGAGGGCTCATTCTCAAGTCTCGGCTTAAAACCACCCAGAAAYCTGAAGCTCCCTTCTCCCCTGGAAGCAGGAATTTGTCTGTGAGATCTTCCCTCCCCCGCCCCGCTCACCACGCCCTGGGATCRGAAATGTCCCTGGAAAACCGCGTGTGC